TGGTGTGATATGAAGCTGGACGTGTTTAAAGTTCATCAGTTTGTTTGTTGGTTCCGTTGTGTGATATAAAGCTGGACGTGTTTAAAGTTCATCAGTTTGTTTGTAGGTTCCGTTGTGTGATGTGATGCTCGTTAGTTTGCCTGTTGGTTCCATTGTGTGATATGAAGCTGGACGTGTTTGATGCTCGTTAGTTTGCCTGTTGGTTCCGTTGTGTGATATGAAGCTGGACGTTTGTGATGCTCGTTAGTTTGCCTGTTGGTTCCGTTTGTGATATGAAGCTGGACGTTTGTGATGCTCGTTAGTTTGCCTGTTGGTTCCGTTGTGTGATACGAAGCTGGACGTTTGTGATGCTCGTTAGTTTGCCTGTTGGTTCCGTTGTGTGATATGAAACTGGACGTTTGTGATGCTCGTTAGTTTGCCTGTTGGTTCCGTTGTGTGTTATGAAGCTGGACGTTTGTGATGCTCGTTAGTTTGCCTGTTGGTTCCGTTGTGTGATATGAAGCTGGACGTGTTTAAAGTTCATCAGTTTGTTTGTTGGTTCCGTTGTGTGATGTGATGCTCGTTAGTTTGCCTGTTGGTTCCGTTGTACGGCATGAAGCTGGACGTGTTTGATGCTCATTAGTTTGCCTGTTGGTTCCGTTGTGTGATGTGATGCTCGTTAGTTTGCCTGTTGGTTCCGTTGTGTGATATGAAGCTGGACGTTTGTGATGCTCGTTAGTTTGCCTGTTGGTTCCGTTGTGTGATATGAAGCTGGACGTTTGTGATGCTCGTTAGTTTGCCTGTTGGTTCCGTTGTGTGATATGAAGCTGGACGTTTGTGATGCTCGTTAGTTTGCCTGTTGGTTCCGTTGTGTGATATGAAGCTGGACGTTTGTGATGCTCGTTAGTTTGCCTGTTGGTTCCGTTGTGTGATATGAAACTGGACGTTTGTGATGCTCGTTAGTTTGCCTGTTGGTTCCGTTGTGTGATATGAAGCTGGACGTTTGTGATGCTCGTTAGTTTGCCTGTTGGTTCCGTTGTGTGATATGAAGCTGGACGTTTTAAAGCTCGTTAGTTTGTGTGTTGGTTCCGTTGTGTGATGTGATGCTCGTTAGTTTGCCTGTTGGTTCCGTTGTGTGATATGAAGCTGGACGTTTGTGATGCTCGTTAGTTTGCCTGTTGGTTCCGTTGTGTGATGTGATGCTCGTTAGTTTGCCTGTTGGTTCCGTTGTGTGATATGAAGCTGGACGTTTGTGATGCTCGTTAGTTTGCCTGTTGGTTCCGTTGTGTGATATGAAGCTGGACGTGTTTAAAGTTCATCAGTTTGTTTGTTGGTTCCGTTGTGTGATGTGATGCTCGTTAGTTTGCCTGTTGGTTCCGTTATGTGATATGAAGCTGGACGTTTGTGATGCTCGTTAGTTTGCCTGTTGGTTCCGTTGTGTGATATGAAGCTGGACGTTTGTGATGCTCGTTAGTTTGCCTGTTGGTTCCGTTGTGTGATATGAAGCTGGACGTTTGTGATGCTCGTTAGTTTGCCTGTTGGTTCCATTGTGTGATATGAAGCTGGACGTTTGTGATGCTCGTTTGTTCGCCTGTTGGTTCCGTTGTGTGATATGAAGCTGGACGTTTGTGATGCTCGTTTGTTCGTCTGTTGATTCTGTTGTTTGTATACATTGTTCTCATTTGAGAACATGACATCACTTATTTGGACTGGCTAAGATTAACGTGTCGTCGATCAAGCTGGAGACGTTTGCTCTTCCAAAACACCCTTTGTTCTCTTTATATTTTTCAGGAGTCTCCATGTTAATCTTTCTTTTGTATTTCATCCAATTTCATTCATGAATATTCTGTTGATATTTTCTTTGATTTTTTTTCAAAACTAACACGATTTAGATCATTCAGCATCTGATGACAAAGGTAAATTAATTTCAATATTGAATACTCTGATTGAAATATATTCTATGATTAAGTATTTTTATACATGGAGAAATTTCATCGGCATGTAGGTTTGATATAACGTAATTAATTCAGTCCGTTTAAGCTGGTATCCGGCGTAGCGTTCGGGGGAATTTAACTCCGAATTAGATGAAATCAACATGGAATCAACTCTTGTTTTGGTACATTTGCTCTGTATTTCCTCCTATTCCGATCTCAAATACAATTTCTTCTCAAAAACGAGTTCAAGACAACTTATCGTTTCATGTCTGACAAGAGTTATCGCCCTTCTCCAAATTTCCGGAATACTGTCGTATATACCGTATAGCACCATTAAAGAGCCAGACCCACTCCTCGACCGATATTATTTTAAATTAAAAAAAATCACGATTTTCTTTTTTTCTCGGGTAGCAAAAGTTCTGACTAACCCTGTAATACCGCAATTTTAAAGTAAATCGCTACCAATCTAATAAATAGTTTTAAAAAAGAATTCGAAACTAATCAGTGCTAATTCATAATTATGCGGGACGTCCTGTCCTCTGACGCATGCGCAAAGAACTGTAAATAAATCTGCCGTCTTCCAACATGGCAGAAAGCGTGCAAGGGAAGCGGGGAAGAAAACGTGTTTTGACGGCCTCTGAGGCGAAAAGAAGGAAGATGGCTGGTTCATACTCTTTATCGCTCTCTGTTAGGCTCTCTCGTGTAGTATAACTCTAAAATCATATTCATAAATACTCTTATCCTCGAATATTCGCTTTAGATAAATCCATTTCGCGATGTTCGTTACCGTATCGTAGCCCTCGTTTGAGGACCACTTTGCAATTAATCGGAGATTTTCTCGTAATTTGCACGTTTTTGTGTCATATCCAAGCATTGAAAGATGTGATCAATACATACGTTAGAAGATTTCCATACAGGATATATAGAATATTTATTGCATTTATCGGTAAAATCTCTTTACAAGCGATGTCACATGGACGTACTACTCGCCTCTTTCTCAATTTTTGCTTTGGTTATGACCGCGTCTGAACGTATCACGTGACATTTCCTCATCAATATTCATATCCTGGTGTTGATTAATGAGACTAATTCTGGCACCGATATCTCCGGTACCCTTTCAATGTCAAGTTCGAAACTTTATACAAGTCAATTTACAGTCAAACCTCGTTAACTCGAAGTCGATGGGACCACGAAAATACTTCGAGTTATCCGAGTCTTCGAGATAGCCGAGTTCATGAGTTTTGGTGCAAAGATTTTTAATGTTCCTGATTCCTTGTACTTTTTGTCACTTTTTGGCTATATACGAGCTTGATGTAGATTCCGGTAATAAGCAAACATATTTTGTTCTTGATCGTTGAAAAACCAGAATTGATAATTAAATTAGGTGCAGTTTGCTTATTATTTAGAAACCATCAATGTCGTTCTGTCAGTCCTTTTTAATTAACGAGAACTAGATTAGCCTACATGTCAACACGAGTCTAGGCTACATAAATAACGATGATACGGAAATCAACATTCACAATTTAATAATTTGACATTAATTAAACACATAATACAAACAAAATAGAACCAAATCTAACATTTTAAGAAACACATACAATGTGAAAAACTTACGATATCATTCTAAACAGCACTACATATGACCGACTATGAGAACTCTCCTGCTTCTTCGATAACATACATAAACTTCCGTTGCGCATGTCCAACAAATGTTACTCAACATCACTGACTTGGCGCGTACACTAGGAAGATTATATTAAAGAGTATGCATGTACACAACATGTTAGTTACGATAACACCTGTCGACTTACAAAGCACTGTAAGTAAATGAACATTCATTATAAGCACTAGTCTTCGAATTTAAGGCCATAATTAACTCACTAATTCTGCCCTAAGTACTTCGACGCTAATTAAATAATTGTTTCACTCATTTGTCGGTTTAATTGAGCACAGGTGACCGTTTCATGCGTACTCCTGTAAAAACATTAAGCCTAGTACCGGGCCAGTGTTGTGATTGTTTTCCATAGCTTAGTTCCGCTTCACTGAGTGTATACACAGGTCGGTGTTTGTTATGGCTGACAGACACGGAAATTACGCAATGTGAGTAGAACTTCACTTTTTATCGCCGATATCTATCAATTATAAGATCTAACGGTTACCTTTTATCATTCAATTAAATAACAATAAACACTTTTCTAAAACATGAATATTGTTAATTACAGTATTGTTCATTAATATTCACTTGTAAAGCCTATTGTCGGTAAAATTGCAAAACGGCGTAGCGCATCAGCAATGTAATTGACCGGCACAAAATTTATACTTCGAGTTTTCCGATCATATTCAGTATATGTTTTGTTGTTGGGACCAAATTTTTACTTCGAATTAACAGAGTTTTTCGAGTTTTCCGAATTCGAGTTTTCCGAGTTTTGATTACTAGAATAAAGAGAAGATTTTGCCGGGACCGACAAAGTGCTTCGAGTTAAACGGGGTCTTCGAGTTTTCCGAGTTCGAGTTAACGAAGTTCGACTGTATATATTATCTAATAGTATACAACAACATTTCAAGTCAATAAAATATGAAAAATATCTATAATAGAGTGGGTCTGGCTCTTTAAGTTTTTTAGCATTATGTACTTCATAGTCATTTAAATTGCCTAATAGTCTCTGGTTATGACTTTAGTAATTTAATTAACATTCACGTGTTTGCGCCTAATGATTCATGTCTCTGGACATTGTCGCCAAATTGTTGATAAGGTATGGACATTGTTTACTCAGCATTCGTGACTAAGACCATAGCAATATGACAAAATCAGAGTCAAATATTGCTAAGATAAATATGAATTTTATGATAACCCTTCTTTGAAGTGAAGGCAACCAAAAATTTGAAATTTCCTCCATTTTCCAAAGTTGTCTCCCTTTCATACCCCGCCCCCAGCCTCTAACGTGATAAATGATGTGTACAAATAACAAGGCACACATGAATAATGTTGATTCAGCTTTACTTTCTAAATCGTGGATTTATGTTTTAGTAAACGATACACTATAGTCCAGGTGTTCCTGAGTATAATTGATAGAAATGAATCTTTTTTTAATTGCCGGCGATCTTGTTGAAGAAGTCTATGGCTTCTGTGTCGTTGTTACCGTCGGACTCGTCCGAGAAATCGTCCTCATAAACATCAGGGAAATCATTAATCTTTGTGGTCTTATCTACAGTCACATCATGTACAACCTCTTTGTTGATTTTATTACCATGTATTAGCTCCTCAGATATTACCTCGGCATGAGACCCGTTCTCATCAAGTCTGTCTGGGGTTCCAGAACCAACCACTTTCTCTGCGCGACCAGAATCGTCCAAATTTTCAGCAAATCTGTTTGTAGCAGTAACCATTTCCCCGTCAAGATCTGCGACACCAAATTCGTTTCTATCTTCAGTATTTCTATGCAAAGTGTCCACTTTCACGGCCCTTTCAGTGTTTTCCTGTCTTATTTCTGTGGACAGTTGCTTCTCTGATAACACGTCTTCCCTTCCCCCCTGACTTGATGTAGTTTGTGTACTAAGGGTTTCCATCATAGGTAACGGGGAATTGCTGGAATACTTCTCTTTTGTGTCATTATCGCCAAGATCCGAATGCTCGTTTTCTTTGTCAATCACAAGATTGTTATGATCCAAATTAAATCCTGTACTTCCTGGAAACTGTTTATCTATTTGTTCCCTTTTTTCTGTTTCCGCTTCAGTTGTTTTGTCACCTGATATGACAGAACGTTGCATATTATCATCAGGTTTTGTCGTTGACGTCCGTTTATCATTAGGTTCGATACCAGTAGAATTACCTGCTATTTTGTCAGCCATTATATGAGCGTCACCATCCACCCGCTGCGAAGTCTTCTTTGTCTCATTTGTATGACTTTTTGTATTGCCCGCCTCTGTAAATAATCTAACATTATCTTCAAGTCGCGTTTTTGTAGAGTGGAAGTTTTGGTCTTGTGTTTCAGAAGCACGCCCGGACCTGGTGGAAGACCTTGTTGGCGGCCTGAAACTGTGTCGCTTACCGGTCGTCCTGTTCTCGTTCTGTTTCAGCCCGATGTTTGATGATTCTCTACCTTGTAATGGAACAAAGCTGTGCTTGTCTTGTTCAGTTGAATCTGATCTGTGTACTTCTACAGTGTGCACCGATTTGTTTTGTTTTCGTTTTCCCTTATCCTTTCGACGACTATAAGAAAACATGAAACAAATAATTAATTGTCTGATTCTTGTGGTCTATATCTTCAAAATTAAATCAAACAGACCTAAGATTTCCAGAACATGTCAATATATACTAACGTACATGTATATAACCTATAAAACGACCGTTAAAAAACAGAAAAAAAAACGAAAAAAATAAAAATAAAATTCAATAAAACTAAAGCAAAATGTGAACAAGTGAATGATTTATACGGAGCCACATGAAAAAAGAGCAGGTAGATGTTTTTTCCGTATCCGCTCAAATTTTGCAAGATACAATTTTCTATTCAGACAAAAGGTCTCATATCTGAAAGGTGATTGATCAAATCAAAATACCCCTTTGAGAGTGATCCTACTTAAAAACATTACTACTGATTCGTTCTTTGTGATCAGAGCTTTAATTATGAGCCTGCGATGTAACGGAGAGGATTACATTATCCTGCTGTTGTTAATACGACGAATTTAAGACGAAAAGTTAAACTATTAAAATATTTCATTGAACGATTCCCAACAACGAAATAAACTAAAACAGACAGTACTTTTAACCATAGAAAAACTTCTTCAATATGTTGATTAGTAAGGAACCCCTTATCACCAACTAGAAATGTTATTGGAAATCTTTAATTTTGGATAGAAACCTAAAATGGGAGGCTGACGTTTGGTGTAATTCCGACCAAGCACATATTGTAATAACCACAATATTGACATGACCAACATAATATTGATATTTTATCGTGTAACCACCTTCCCGCTGACCTATTGCTCCCTTTGGAACAACGGTCATTGACTTTGATTTCAACTAATGTTCCCTTCACAGTGCCATTATAAATCTCTACGAACTGAAGTAGCAACATCTCATGGATGCCTCGATTGAGATGTGTTATATTTACTGTGATATTAAGGAAATAACCAGAAATTATTTCATATTTTAGATAATTACTTTCCCCTCCCTGTAGTATCGTCTATTGTCTTGGAAGCCGGAGGTGTGGTTGTGTTTGCCTTGTCATCTAGTGACGGAAGTAACGTGTTCCTCTTCATGTCTTCTGGTGTTCGGAGAATCGGGTCCGATTGGGACTCACTAGGACCTGCAGTTACCAACCCCTCACTGGAATCCGTTATTTTCCTACACGAATGACATAAACAGAAAAACATATTAAGCATGCTTAAGTACCCACTATCTGCATACTTAAATATACGATTTCTGTAGCTGTGAATTTTCCATTTCTGAATAACAACAATCCCGCATCCCCAACCTATGGTGGTTACATGTCGCAGTTGATTCGATATTCATTGGGGCCGTTCCGTTCCCATTATTAGGATTTTTCACGAAAGACTGGACGTTTTACAGTGTTATCTCAATATTTTATTCCTTTGAGAGATATGAAGTTTGACGTGTTTGATGCTCGTTAGTTTGCCTGTTTGTTCCGATGTTGTATACATTGTTATCAGTTGAGAATGCGACATTACTTACTTGGATTGACAAATTTACATGGCGGCTGTCCTTGTTGAAACAGAAGACGCTTGGTCTGCCAGAACACTTGGTCTTATTATGGTACTTTCTCAGGAGTATCCTTGTAAATCTTTTATTTCTGCATGTTTTGCCTCAGTTTGATTGAATTTGGGTTATGATTATGTTGACATGTTGGCATTTTCGTGTTGTTTTGGAAACATTCAAAGACGTCAATATATTAGGAACTAAACCAATAATTAAGCTCACATAAAAAGGCGGCAAAGGTTAAAGGATGTTTTTACGGATGATGAGACCGCTAAAAAGCGCTTTGTGAATTATTATAACCTGGACACGACATTATGTCAGGTTATTCTGTAACAGGCTTTTACTCATAAGTCGTTTTAAGTTGTACGTCAAACGTACAACAGTGGATAACAGTTTTAGTGGATCTTGGTTGCCTTGGTCTAGGCAGAGAACTCATGGTCGAGCGGATTAATACCTAAAAGCATGGTATTGCCTAATATGGCATTAGAACGAACAAAAGCATGAAATGAATGAGTAGTCACATTTGATTGTTTTATGCAATTCATGCAACAATGACTTAAGGAACGATAAAAAGCAAAACAAACGGATAAATAACATGAACCTCTTATCCATATTCGAAGCGAACTAAAGCTACAAGATAAGAAGCCACTAAGTAACTGTCTGAGGACAAATAAAGCAAATGTGTTCCCCGATATTTTGGTTTTAAAGCAATTCTTATATAAGTAAACGTCCATGATATTGTTCGCCTAAGACACATACACTCGTTATGTTTTACAGCAAACTAAGAAAAGATTTTCATCGTGTAAGATTACTTCATGGCTACTTTATTTCGCGTTTCAATCACGTATCTCTCAAGTTCTCTCACACAGAATATTATGGATTCCATTAAATTCCAGTATGCGGACGTGTAAGTAAGTAAGTACGCTGAATGAACTTTCAAGAGGTAATATAAAACAATAAGCACAGATTTCAAAACTTAGTGTACAAGATACTTTATTACCAATTTTACGGAAACATCGTTTTGAAATGAAGCAAAAGTCGTCCTAATATTAAGCATGCCTCTAACTGAAAAACATGGCATCAACAACGAAATTATTTGCACCTGAAGGACTGAGGTAGTGTGAACACATCGATTTGAACCAAGTATATTCTTGCACGCAATATCATTGGAAGACATAATCGCCATCATATGCAGTGTAGCGTTCTAGGTGTGTGTTACAGTAAAGAAATGGGAAGTTCACATACTGATTATAAAACAGGCCATCGACGATTTGTCTTCTGACAATGTGCATTTTATGTATGACCAATCATGTTTTCATAATTTGAAACTGGAGAGTTAGCCCTGATACTGTCTAAATACATGTAAACATATAGGTAATTTGGATATTGTAACACAAATAACGAAGGAAGATACTTTAGACTCCAGCCTTGCACTGATTCGAACTCATGATCTGTGACACCAAATCGCGTAGCCAAACCATGACACCACCATATCTCCACAAAAATTCTGTGGAAGTGGTAGTGATCCCAGCGGATTACTCGGATTATAAATCATCACCAACTATCTAATTGAATCATGGCCGACTTTTATTCTTGACTTACTCTAGTTTTCTCTGCGCATGCTCAGGGATCATACAGTACAGGTTGAGGACGTAGTAGTTATGAATAACTACAATATATAGCTGGAAATTCCTGACAAAAACATTATAATTACTTGTCCAATTACGCGACATATACACCGACACGAATTATACATCAATGTCGGTAACAACTACGACAATATGAATAACCTATCGTAATCAATCTTGAAATGCACATAAGTCTATATTTTGATAGAAATAATTCACTATTTACTTCTATTTGTACCTTGAATTTAAGTTACTTTGAAACTACACACAGGCAAATGAAGTGAATTCAGTTAAATTGTATAACGTACGTGTCTCTTCTGCATTTTCTCTTCACAGATTCAACGAGGATGCTGATCTGTTTATCAATAATGTGACCAGGTTCAAGCACTCGAATACGTCGAACGCTGAATACGATGTTAAATACCTACAAAATAAGATTCACAGTGTAAATAGATACTCAACTGCAGTGTATAGGACGAATTTTGAATTTTCTGTAAACATCACATTCCATTACCTCTGTGTATGATTATGCTTAAATGTATATTCAAATCAATCTTTTGTGTCTGGATATGAGAAAGATATTTAATTATATGTAATGTAATTACAACCGACTAAGATGTAAATATAGATAATGTCATTTATTCGTAAAGATATGCCGTTTGTTAATCATGAACTACTCATGTATACTAACGAGCATCAAATATCAGACTAATGTTCGCCAATTCAATACCGACGATCAAAGCTATCAAAACCTTAATCAAAAGTCAATGAAAAATACAGAAGTCCTTCAAAACGAAGGCGTTGTGATCTGCAATGGTAACCGTCTCCTTCATCACCAACAACACCTGGCATGTAAACCTTGGTTAATTCACATTTGTAACGTCAGGTTCTCGAATGAGAATAATGTCCAGAAAACATTTAACATATCCCACAAGATGGACTAGTTATTAATGTGATCGGAATGACAACCGTTCTGTGTCTGTCAAAGTCTTGAGTTGTATTCTTTTAATCCAACTGTCTGCATCTTCGATTAAAGTAATGATACAACACAAGAAAGTGGTACTTACCTGAAATGCCAGTAAAAAGGAGAGGAGACATAAAAACGTGATCATGTAGCCACCGAATCTGTCCAGAAGCGTGTCATTGCAGCCCTTGATAAACACATAAAACATCAACCTAATTTAAACAATTGTATCATTTCTTTTCGTTTTATAGACATAAATAGAGGCTATTATTGATTTTTTGCGATGATGGCTTGAAATAGAGAAAATCAAATTAAATCAAATATAAATAATTGTATATATTCTTTTCATCCCAAGGATATTTTCTAGGATGAAATGCAATTATGGAAAAACAAATGTCTCAAAAAATGACATAGGAAAGGAAAATTAATTTCATTACTGGTGTTAAAGAATATTTTGCAAATGACTAAAATTAGAGCAATCCAAAGACAGCGTTTACAGTAGGTTTTCCGAGAACGTCATATACGTGCAATACATGTTTCTACTATAATTTGTGGATGTTATGCAACTCCCAATGCATCAATCTATCATTCCATTTGCTATATATGTAAACATATGTGTTAAACTGCATGTGATATAATCTTTTTTGATTGGCTAACAGGATGAACATTGAGCACGAAAACGAAACCGCGCAATAAGTAGCTCCATATTGTTTCTGTAATCATTTGATTTCAATTTTCGGCTTTGAAGACCAATTTAACTCTTGTTATAATGCGTAATGGGGTTCAATGTCTCATCTATTTCTGAAATTGATGGCGTTAACAAAACACACGTGGGTACAGAACAGGTTATACGGTATGTCTCGTAATTCCTGACTGGAAGCCTCGGTACCAACAAAATTACTGGAAACTGAAAACATCTAACCTACCACAACAACGAAGTGATTTTATATAAACCTTACCGTCTCATAGAAAGTTCCCGTGTAAAGATCGTTTGTACAATTCTCCGACCCCGCCTCCAGACCCGGGTACCACCTCGTCACATTCTTGCAGCAATAGATAGATATTTGTCTGAATTGCAAATTTGGGTGTTCGAAATCTCCATAATTGCCAACTCCGCAACACTGCATCTACACGGGATCATATGTAACCCAAAGGAAGATATCACAGTTATCAAATTAATGTCAAATCAGTGTTTTTTATTTTGGAAAAAATTGGAAACAATGTGTGTATGGTGTGTGTTCTTAAATGTATATGTTTTAGAAGTTCAAAAAATGCAATGAAATGATATGAATTAGAATAAAGCTCGTTCTCGATTGAAGCGCAAAGAACATTAAACGTCAGAATAGGAAACGATGAAAAGAGTTTCAGCTAAGTAACAATGACCTAACATTTATGTAAAATGTTAGAACCGTTTCACAGAAAATGCTCAATACAGTGATGCATGTAAAGTATAGTTTGTAATTTATTCATTTTTATTACTTTATATCCTCTGTCTGTCTCTCTGAGAGTTAAAATTGATTTGAATTAATCGTAAAGTATAATGATACCTTAAAAAATAATTTCTCCCATGATGTACCAGAGTCCTCTCCACTATTCACATATCTATTGAAGAATAGCTGAAGAAGTTGATCATACATCGTCCAATCGATCTGAAACAAAACAAAATCAGGATTTATGATGAAATGTTAGCAAAAATGTTTTTCAGTGTTGTAAAAAATAATATGAAAACCTTATGATATGATCCAAATTTAATGAGAGGTAACAAATTCCCAAATGACGTATACAATGGCCAACTACTAGAAGCTTCCAAAGAATTGACTGAAAGACCGATCAAAATCACTGAGAACGGGACTATTATCATACAACGGTCACAAGGAAAGAAACAAATGTTGGAAAAGAACCAATCTCAAATAATCACGTTAGGTAGTTGCCATTTTATCATGTTCTGTATAAAGTGGGGTGTGACGCAGCATTTTCCTATAATTGTTCTCACACTAAGAAAAACATTAGAACTTTCCTGTGTAATGCCGAACTAAATGTACGAAACGTAAGTTAAGAATGTATAAGGATCCCGGAAAACCAATAAAGACAACCTACGCTACACAAAAGAATCAAACGAATAAATATGCTTTACAGGAATATTGTTTTTCTTTTTAGTTTATTGTAATTGCCAACGTTACATGAAAACTACCAATTAGAAATTTATCTAAACACGTGCAAAAACAAAAACATTTCAGAATCATATTCAGGAAAATTTAGCAAACCTTACATTGCTTTTCGTCTCAATACACAATCCAATGATCACTATCACCGCGACAGCAAGTGCACCTCGAAGTACAATCGACTAAAACAGAAGGTGTACATCCGTCACACACTCTTACAGAACAAAAGCACACATTCTGATATTTTTATGTTTCGTTTAAGCAATTTCAAGACTTGTATCTCTTTCCTCTGTTCGTATTTTCCCTTCTTTATCCATATGGAGATTGAATTAAGGTTCTATTGACATGCTGGCTTTTCTCTTGTTGTTTCCTCAAACACAATGGATGTTAATGAAGGTCTTACTGCATTTATGTAAGTAACGCTTTTTGTGATATTTTAGTATATTTACAACCAATAAAAGTTATGTAAGGCATGTTTTATTAACAAACATTGTACTGTTCTTTTAAAAGGCACATTAGAAAACAAAAATATTTCATTTTTACCCGAAAGGCAAGACAATTGTTATAGGCATATCAACAGTCGACATTATTGACCACTAGTTTTGACTTTTGAATGTTATTCGCCGTGGAACATTCAAATGCTCTTAAGCATTCAAACAATAAGTAGCATCATGAAACATCTCTCTGATAGCAAATGACATTGGTCAGGATGGTTGCTCCTGTCAATCCTAAAGAAGAAGGACGACTGTAAGAGTTATCAAATGAGGTCTTTGGTGATTTGATTGCATTTTATTGACGTGTATTGCTACAATCATATTGTTTCCTTTTTTTCAAAGGACCTCTACTTTGGATTTTAAAAGAAGCATTCGATTTGTTTTAAGCCTTTATTATAAGTAAAAGAATTCCCACTGGCTTTGCAACCTAGGGAAACACTTCTTTGGGTTTGTCCCAAAACCCCTCGAGGGTATAGTTTAATAGATTTGAATGTTGATTGATGAGGCATGAAACAAAAGCTTATTGTTAGTTGTAAAGTCAAAGTAACGTACTATGCTTTCCAAGAATTTTGCGTCCCAGCAGTATATGACACATCCAAATAAAGTGATAATCATCTCTGTGATGCCAAGTCCCAGCATACCAAACCATAGGGCCTCTATGTAATAGGTGAAGCGGCGGTTGTTAAACGAAAGGTTATAGAATATATCATGCAATTCAATATCATCAAAAATGTCATCGAATCTCAGTAGTAGTCCAGTCACAACCAAGCAAAGTCCGCAAAACTGTAAAACATATACCACAAAAAACATACGTCAAGAGTATAGGGTGAATGACACATGGTGTAATAATATAAATCACTTTTAAAAACAAATTAAAATGTGTTATTTGAATTACGAAATTGAGAGAAGGAACGACCTTTTATAAAAATGGAAAGATTAGACGCATTTTCAAAACCTGAAATCATTTCATAGCTAGAAATTTTCCAAGATAAACAACGGAACGTTATCGTTGATAATACAAACATTTCTGCGCTGATTGGTTCCAATATATCTATTTCTACAACACCGAATATGCCTATAGTATTATAATAAAAACTTACCATTGTTATGATCTTCAAGGCTATCCCAACTCCGTTGTATTTATCTCTGCATGAAAATGTCAACTATTAATGCATGGTCATTTGAACGATATACAATTAATGTTATTGACATGTTGGATATAAGGCACTCTAACGACTCAATTGTTGCTTTTCTGTTCAGTATATATAAAGATATGTTTTGCTTATTCATATGTGTAATATAGACTATTGTGATGATAAGTTTAGATGATAAAATGATGTCATTCATTCCTATATTCCATTGTGACGTTTGATCATAAAGATTAAATATATAGAGCCGAAATGACTACCAAGACGTAAATATAATTAGTTATCAAATGGATAGATATATATCTGTTTATCGTTTTATGTATAAGGATGGGACAAATATGTCAGTATTTTTAATAATACTACATGTCTATGGTTTGGAAGGACTTTTTATTATTTTCATAAACCTTTTTTGTGTGCGAAAAGGAAGTGCAAATCATTTCATCAACTGACTTTCACATCAAGGTATTATTGAAGAGTCGAAATTGAAAGATCTCGCATGAAAATATCATTTCTCTCTACATTCACTTTACGCTTTCCAGCTTCGCAATTTGAAGCCTTAAGTCGTGTAATTCTAAGATCAGACAGAGCATTCATTCTATTCTTTAGAGTTTGTCTATCTAAAACCTAACATATGATTGCTTCATGACTGTCAGGATCGACCTAACTGAACAAACAAGACAAAACAACATATTTTATAATCTTATCTCTGTATTAGTCTGTATTATAAACTTTCGCGGTCCAAAATCATGAAATAGCTGTAGTGATAAAACAAACATATTTGTATTTGGTTCGTTTATCATATTGTTTTTAATATCTATCCATTTAAGTACATGTACTTACTTCTCCCATAAGCTCTTAACTCGTCGTTTTAGAATTCCAACGATGCCTGTTTGAATGACTGGAGTAACTTGACTTGTGTCCGAGTCAGTGGATTCATCGGTCAAATCTCGTACCCTCTTGTTTACATACAGCAGTGAGAATATCTGTAAGACGGTTTATCTGCGATTTTTTGAATTTGTATTTTGTGATGGATAAACGTAACAGCAAATGAAACAATGGTTACCTTAAAAGTAGCAGGGGTCAGCTGTATCTTGCATGCCACATTTTACTTCATTCGAATACTTTCACGGTTCAGAACATACACATGTACTTCACTATGTTCCAAAATCATCTGATATATGAAAATTACGAAATTTATTTAATTACGGGGCTAGCGCCCAGCTGATGCAGTTTAATTCATTATTTGGCATTACTCAATCTGTCTTGTACAATCTCTATTTTAAAAACGATAATGGCAAGGCGGGAATTGCAAGATTAGATAGAAGGTAAGTACAGCTTCAGAAACAGCATTATCAGTCTTGTTATCTGCAAACTTTGCAAATAGTTTGATCAATGATCAAATCGATCATGAAGTGACTTCATACAGGACTCTTTAGTGATGCTAAGGGCCTACTGTTTGAAACGTAAGAGGGGACTGAGGAACATCCAACGTGTTCGAAAAACATCAAGTTTTTCCTCATAAACATACTCATATTTACTCAAGTTGGCAGAATTTATCATGCTTGAATTATTTAATGTCTATTAGATATATGCCTTTAATTCATTCATATGAGAACACCCCAGAATAGAACCCAGAATATACCGTCGATAACAACATAGTGTGACGGTATATCTGACTAGAGTTTTAGAATTCAAATCCATATTTTTTTATATTTTGCTTTATAAACCTACCTGTAAAATGAGCGTCAATGTCACCAAAGACAGACTAGCGCCTGAAAATGTCTGAAAATGTTCCTCGAGAACTGGAACGCAGGGCTGCAAGTTAAATAAACATCAAGATAATTATGATGCTTTAACAAAATCAAAATCTAACCTCAATATCAATCAAAGATGACAAGATGTAAACCAACAAAGATAGCACGCAAACATTTAATATCTTAATGTACAAGAAGATTAAGACCAGGTATTCTGAAGGGTAAGCGTCTTAAGTTTCATCGACGACACCCATCACGTATGTTTAGGCCAGTTCGATTAATGACGCGGTAAAACTTGATAAGTAATGCCTTACTTACCCTGAAATCTGTACACAAAGGATATAATCTGTACCATGAAGAGCTCGATATCAAATGAAGGTCTTGTTGCCGTCTTATTCCACAGCAGCTTAACTTCATAAAAAAACGAGTAAAGCTCAATATAGAAATCATATGACTGATTATTGTTATTATTTGTCTACTGCTCGATGTTCGAAATATGCTTGCAGAACTACTGCTTTATTTATCGTATATATGTCGTACTTTAAATATTGTAAAATATTTTTCGTTGAGCTAAATTTTCGCAGTTTTTTTCGAAATTTCGTTGATACTTAATTTGATGGTTACTAATAGTTCAAGATATCTACTCTTTGATTACGAGTACCCACGGGAAAAAAAACGAAAATAAAGCTACCACGAAAAAATATCATTTAACAACACATACAACATTTTATTCTGCTAAATTGTGAGCGTTTAATGAGCATATGCCATGTTTTATTATTGTAACCTCAATATCAATTCTTAAATATATTACCTGAAGAATTAAATCCCTTGCGTGCGAAAAATAGGGTTCGTAGTTTAACGATGCGTAAAATAATTCCTCAACCTCTTCATCCATATTCTCTCTTACCTAAAACAAATGTATGCTCTTGATGTTAAAACATTCGTTATCGACTAAGGTTTGGTATAATTAAAGTACGTTTCTTTACAGATATAATATCTTTTTTACTTTAGAGCAATTGGGAAACTAGCTGTCAGCTGAAATTAATATGTTTTCCCGAATACAAATGCGCGAAGGTGCTGTGTGAGTTAGCAAAAGAAAAGCACGCGGGATCGACAATATTCCTCCTTACATTTTCATGTGTTACCTGACCACACAAAAATGCCAAGCGTGTTTGTGCTGTTTATACTAACGAACACGATTTATTATGATGCCGGAAAGGTGCGATTAATATAGTTCACATATTTATATTTACACTTATTGTTGTGTATAATTTATAAATATATTTTTTCTATACATTGTTTTATGAACGAGAAATAAAATGGTGCTAACCAAGGAATAAATATTGATATCATAATGTTTTTCAGATGATTTTTGTTAATCATAAGCATGAGACTTTGATAATCGTAATTATCTCCAATACCTTTTTGTCTGTTTTTAGTTATACGATATTTCTTTCGTTAAACAAGAAATTAATCAATAAAAAGAGGTCCACACAATACATTAAAAGTAATATACATTACCTCAGTAATGAATACGCCAAAGAATATAATTGCTGTTACCGATATGACAACCCCTGTATTGTTGAGGAAGGCAGACTGAAAACAAGACAAATATTGCTTTGGCCTAGATAAGACTTGCCCTTAACAGAAATCATAAGAATAGCGATATACTCCTCCTCTGAAGCAGCTGTGCCGATCTTTAGTTACAAAATAAACTCTATAGACAGAGATTTCATAATAGGTTCACACTGATTTTGGTTTCAAAATTTGATTGTTCAATTGATATTTAGAAAACTCTCAATCAGTTCAACAGAAAAAGTACCGGAGTACATATAGCATTAATAGTTAGCACAAACATTACAAAATCAAAAACGGGAAGAAAACAAAAAGCAAATAAAATATGAACGATTCAGAATTTTTTTTACGGAATTAATAAGTTAATTGCCTAAAACAATTCTTATTTTTAACTGTGTTCTTTCAAAAATAGTATGAATTTGCAGGTCGTTAAAAGCACAGATTAGATCAATATTTAATTATCATCTTGTGTAAGTTTAACATTACCGTTAAAGACAGAATTGGAATAACATAATCACGATGTTCGGAAATCGAACAGAACAAAGGAACAAACATTTCAAAATTTGTAAAATTAGGTTAAATAGTTATAAAGATTGTATTGTACAATAGACAACCAACCTTCAGGTCGGTAGTCTACCTGTAGTATATCAGTAACGTTCAGTAAGAAAAACGGCTATGTCAATTTAAAGCGTCGCCTGGGTAAGAACATATCATTTTTAAATAAGCTATTTTTTATTCTGACATTAAAACAAACTAATTTCATGAGAATTTTAAAAGACTTCACAAAATGAAAATTTACCATAACATGCAAAATGAAACATCAAGAAAATACCAACATAATCATCCAAACTCACCTTCCATAATACCAGAGCAAACTATAACACTTCTGATCGGTCCAAGCAGACGAATGCCAGGTGTTCCGGAAAGAAAACGTCTTTTGTTTCAGCATTTATTTCTACGTATTTTTACGACACTTCAGGAAGGATGCTATTGCTAAACACTTACCACGTAATATGCCGCTCGTGACGTCACACATGTCATGGAGATACCCTGGAGAGAGACGAGGAGTGAAGTACTTCCACACAACACGAGCAGAGAGGCAAGGAGTTTAATCAAGTCGTCCAATTGAACGTTGCAGAACCTAAGACGCTGTGTATGGGTCACAAACGAGGGGTACTTGTGTATATTGTAACCACCATAGATTACTAAGATTACAGCGAGACACTATGTAAAACAAATAAATAAATAACTGTTACTGCATACAGAAGGTATGATAGGAATTTTGTAGTTTGTACCATTTTCGATAATATAAACTTTTTTAAAAATATTTATTTGTTTAGTTTATTAGAATCAATTAAGAATTTTAAATTTCCTTCTAAGTTTAAAATAAGTAATTTGTAAGTCAATTCAATTTAAGCAACCACCAGGCCGGAAGTTGACATTTGACTCAATTGTCCAAGGCTGGACTCAAAGGCCATTTGTTGCTTTTTATTGTAATGTCTATTAAATTAGTTTTCATAAAGTGTTATTTGCTCATCTATACATACAGTGTATCTGCATATTTTATGAAGATATACACTTACACCCTGACACACCGCCACACATCGCATAAAAAACGATAGCCTGCCTCTACAATAGAAAAAAAGAAACAATCATACTGACAAGTTAGGTAACAATAGACACGAATACAATGGTATTAGTCACTATTGACAACAGTATTATAATATATATTTTTAATCAACGGGATATCAAGATTAATTTAATGGGGATACTTAAACAAAATCTGAAACTAAACCTTACAGTATCTACTTGTATCTGTTTACAAGACAATACTATGTAACTTTTCTTTTGCACAATAATCAATTGCTATTGTCGTATATACGTTAAACATTAATTTTTTTTATCAAAAACTTCCTAAGGCAACATTATAACGTAACAAATAATGTGGTAATTAATTTCGATTTGTATGAAAAGTTTACACAACGAGTGACTGCAGTGTTTGGTACCTACTTCATCCGCGTGAGTTATTTTTCAAACGTTAAAAAAAGAGCTTTAGCGAGTGTTTTGTAACCTTAGGAAGCAACTAACGAGCGTGCAAGAAATAATACCGTACATAACAAACACGAGTTTATGTGACCTGTTTCTTCCATAATGAAAAAAGAATATTCCCAGGTTTAATTGACAAGTTCTGTACGCACGCGTGTTTTGTTAAAGGCGTCAGTTGGGGCGTAATATATCCTTTAGCCACTTATTAATATGCAAAACTAAAATTCATGGAAACATTGTAACTCATTACAAATCATAACTAGAAATAAATTGGTTTGCCTTAAAAACAGCAAACAGAAAGGTATAAAAATTCAAACATAGATAAGATCATTTCAAAAACAATTTTTAACTCCTCAGTGCTCTTTTTAAATTCCCTGGGAGTGTAAAGCGTCCTTTCAGCCTGGCGGCATATCATACGAAATTATTAAACTACAGATAGTAGTAAAATATTGAATAAGCAATAAATATTCACTACAATGCCGATAATTTCGTTAGACAAAGCTATAAGATTGAACTGTTATATGAATTGACTTTTCTAAGATATATCTACCAACGCTGTGAATACAGTTTCAGGCAAGGTTTACTTCGAACACAATGTAATCATAAGCTCTCTTAAACAATACGATATCTATTCTGATTTAATCAATTCAGACTGAATTCACTTTTAGTAAATAGCCTCAGCGTATTGAATATCGTGCTTACCTTTACACTAGTTTCATGTTTTTTGAGTTCAAATGACACAGGAGATTAGTATCATATCGATGTTTGTGCATGTCCTTTACACTTACTTTCTCCAATATAAAACAATGTTAACGTAGACGTCACCAAAGGCGTCCCGGGGGATATATGGTATCACACCAGTATTTTCGGATCTCTCTGCCTCTTCCTTTCGTCTCCATTCTCTGTATTTGTAGTCTGTGATAACCAGGTTTAATACCTGGATTACATAATTCAATCCTCGATGAAAATATTTTTTTCTGTAAAGCTTCTTTTATATTCATGTTTAAAACTACATATGATAACGAAGACCCTATTTTCCCTCAAATACCTTGTACCTTCGCAACATAGATGAAGAGCTCTGGAGACATTCATTGTTAACAAATAAAGACATAGTTCTATCGCAAGACTTCGAGCACATTTAGCAATAAGTCTAATACAGGTATAATGATTAGCCTTAACATGTATGAAATCGACATTTTTGAGAATATTTGAAATATTTAAAATATGAGAGAGAGAGAGAGAGAGAGAGAGAGAGAGAGAGAGAGAGAGAGAGAGAGAGAGAGAGAGAGAGAGAGAGACAGACAGAGAGAGACAGACAGACAGACAGAGAGAGAGAGAGAGAGAGAGCAAGCATAAGACATTTCAAACTACTACAAACGGGAGTTATGAAATAAATATGAAAATCGGAGAAGAGGCAGATATGTCAAACGGTATGCAATCCGTGTTTATACAACTATTCCTTACCGATCAAAGAAACAAAAACTGGCGAGACGAAGAGCGAGTACATAATGCACATCGTCTTTAATAGTATATACACTGTTAAAACAGCAATCCTGTCCACTCAGAACTATCACATATTATATAGAACACGATATTTGTATTTATGATAATGGACGGTCTTGGTGGTGAGCCCCGGTGACGTCACAACCGACCAAAAAAAATGACTCATGGGATAAACTTTTGACTAAAACAATGACTCAAAAATCCCCTATAAGTACATTACTTTGAATTCAAGTTTGACTCAAAATCCCTTAAAATGACATTTCTTTGAATTAAATTCCGACTCAAAAATCCCCTAAAATTACACTACTTTGAGTCATGTTTGACTCATAAATCCCCTATAAGTACATTACTTTGAATTCAAGTTTGACTCAAAAATGAAGGAACTATAGTTAAGATGTCCGCTCAAACACTCGAATCAGCTTATGGTTTATTGGAACTAAGCTTGCAAAAATAATTATTCAAACAAAATCTGCGTCAAAGTTAGTGAGGAACGCTATCACAAATAACCTACAACACATCGATGACGCATGCTTATATAACATTATCAGTGTTAGATGTGTTAGATGTAAGTATTGATATATATTTCATTTTTATAAGTAATTGTTTACTTACTTCTAAAATCAACATACTGATGACAAACATCAACATCGTACTTAAGAAGGTACGAAACGAGCTCGACCACAGGTCCCAGCACCCCTTCAAAGGAAATGCAAATTACTTACAAATAGGTCAATGTTGGATACAAAGAATTCAATGGGAAGGAAATTTAAAAAACGCGGTTTGTTTTCTTTAATAGTAAGCAACTATGGTTAAAATTTAAGGAACTACTGGCTTATAATCAGAAAAGGCTTATTTTTCAGGTCGAGTCGTTAGAGTAGGCCTATGTCATTAAGATTGCAGATGTAAATACATTTCCGGTGGATTTTCAGTCAGCGAGATCTACTGTTACCTGCATCCACGTTTTAATTTATTTGGATATCATATGTGCGACATTTCACTGGACCAATTTTGATTTTCATCGGTATTTTTAAATCTTTATTTTACAACAATTGGAAGCAAGTTTTTCCAACTTATATTAATCACTCTTGTTGGCCCGGATGGAAGCGCACGAGTGATCTTAGTGTGGCAGGAAACCGGAGTACCCGGTGAAAACCCACGTGGTCGGGCAGGTGACCCCATACCTTTTCGCATCCATTCCGGGAATCGAACCCCAGACGGACGGCTAGGTAAAAGACGAGTGCGTTACAACTGCGCCACCCGACCACTCGTCATCGGGCGCTTCACAAGCTGCGGTTTAGATAATTAGCATAATTGTCGAGCATCCTTGTTAGAGTAAAACCATACCACAGCTTATTCAATACTTCATTAAAAGGTGATACTCTGTTTTGAGACATTCGTACATTTCTTTGTACCATCGTCATTAAAGCAATATGATTTCTTTGTTACCTGTAATAACAATATCTTTATATTCCTGGAACAGGTCAGGAATCTTAAAATATTACCAAACTAAAAATGTCCTATTTTTACTAGAAGTGATACCACCTTGAAATGTGTTTAGATCCTTAAATCAAAACACAAAATCCAGTAAACAAAATCATCTACTGGGTACACACAAATATCTGGTCCATTTCCTTGTCGACGTAACCCTTCTTGTGGATATCAAATTCAGAAATGTCATGTTCTCAAAGTAGAACTGTGTAAAGTTTATCGTTTACAAATATCAACATCTCTAATACAGGTTTTGATGAGTTTGAAAACTTTTGCAAATAGATGCATTACTTTATGTTTAAGGTTGGAATATGAATTGTGTTAGTGTTTATCACGACGTAAATGTCAAAGGTGCGATTACCCGAGGGACGTGTGAATAGGTATTGGGTCACCTGTTCAAGCGCGTGATTTTATCCGGGTGCTCCATCCTCACCAATACCCATCGCGCACTTCCATCCAGTCAAAGATCCAGTAATTAAATGGGTTACAATGCCTTAAAGTATAATTTCAAGATAGTGTTACCGTATACAAATTTATTACTCGTCGAGGTTGGGGTGTTGAGTTGCCAGAAATAACAGTTTGATTACGTGGCGTGTTTCCGTACTCTCTCTCTCTCTCTCTCTCTCTCTCTCATCCCATCCTCTACCCTCGCATTTCTTCGTTACGTTAAGGAAAATGCGATATTTAAATGACCTACCGGTAATTTGGCATTTGTTACATAAGAGTTCAGACAGGGGTCTTCACCAGAAAATCCACAACAGGATAACTGGAATAAAATTGATATTGATCTATGATTATACAAGGTGACGAATGTAATATGAAATCAAGAACAGAGATTATCCAAAATATTATTATTGATTTGATATTTATTTTCCAAGATTGCTCTCTCTCTCTCACTCTCTCTCTCTCTCTCTCTCTCTCTCTCTCTCTCTCTCTCTCTCTCTCTCTCTCTCTCTCTCTCTCTCTCTCTCTCTCTCTCTCTCTCTCTCTCTCTCTCTCTCACCCCTAAGATTGACTGTGAAATTCGTCCGGTGTATCTCTAGGGAGACATTATAACTATTAATACATTAATTTAAATCCAACAAGAATAAAGGAAATTAACACTACGATACATCTATAGTCATCTCATACTGATACTGTTGTAACGAAATAGAAATGTAATGTCACTGTCTCTATATTTACGTATCTTAGTTTGGGTACTTCATAAAACAGCAGTATACATTATTTTCATACATTACATTTTTATTGTGAAGGTAAGGTTGATCATTCCACACTACTAGGATCAGTACCTACCATATAACCAGACTTTAGTCAGATCAATCATAACCCTTGTGAGGCCAAATCTAAAGCTACAACAGTTTTTTTTATCTGTATACATAAAGAAATCTTTTTAGTGAGGACTATTTCAGAATTGGCTACAAACACACCTACGTTTTTATATTGATAGACAAAATGAAGTCTTCTTTAAGAGAGCTATTTCAGAATAGACTTCACGTACATCTATGTTTTGTTTCTGTCAGTACGAAGAAAACATCATTTTTGAAGTATACCTACGTTTTTTGATACTGGTATACATAAAGAAATCTTCTTAACAAGAGCTGTTCCATAATTGACTTCACGTACACAGTCGGTATGAAAAAAATCTTTTTAAAGGAGCTATTTATAGAATTGACTACCCATACACCTATGTTTGCTCTGTCAGTACGTAAAATGTCTTTCTAAAGTATACCTACGTTTATCTGTCCATAAATAAATTTCCTTAAAGAGAGCTATATCAGATTTCACTGTAAGTAGTCTTACGTCATTTCATATCAACAGGTAATTGATACCTGGTTTACAAATGCTAACATTGAATTAACTGTGATGACATTTGATCAATATTAGACCTATCTTACCGTTTCTTTGAATTCCTTTGTAACGGAATCGTCAATGTTCAGCTGACTGTTGAATTCCTTATCGATCCAAATATAAAACTAAAGTAAAATAACAAAACCAGAAATTTCAAAATTAGATATAAAAATACTAACCTTAAATACAAATATTGTAAAATGTTCTTTTTCATTTGTATACAATCATTTTGGACTGAACTGTCTGGAAATAACATTGTAGCATCTAGACAGGTTTAACATATTGAACAATAGCATTATCATCTGTAACATACGATACAACACAATATCAGCATGACCTTTATCGACTTCATATTATAGATTCATTTATTGTTGCTTTACGTCATATAAACAGTTAGTGTCATTTAAGGACATGCCAGGTTTGAATGGTAGAGGACAGTCATAGCGTGCGGAAAAAACCACCGACTTGTGGCCAGTACCTGGGGACTGTCCCGCGTAGGCCTGGCGACCTAGAGGTGGAGGGATAGTGTTTAGACGCTCAGATAACTTAACTATATGGCCATCGCATCCCCTTTATATTAAAGAAATCGAAGTGATAACGATTTGGATCGATATTTTAACGTCCTATCAACGACTATGGTCAATTTGAGGATGGACTCAAAACAACTTAGTAGTAAATAACGAAATTAAATGCAACCAATCAGTGCTTTGAGGATCAAACTGACGGAGAAAACACAACAAACCTGACTAGACATCATTACAAAAGAACAACTTGAAATACTTTGCATGGGTCCAACTGACAGAAAGACCATAGTCACAGGGTATGGGGAAAACAGCATCCGAATTAATACATCGCATTATCATAATTAATGTATACTTTATCATATTGGCTTAAATTCCCGTTGTCATGTCGACGTACATTGGTAATGAAAACAAACAGTAATAATGTATCAAAATTAACCTTGTTGCTTAAAACAGCATCTTGATACAGAACGGGTAAATTTATAAAACTCTGATTGTCGCCCCTGAATCCACCTAAATGTGAGGTTACCATGAAAATCAAAAACATATGATTATACGTTCCGGATGGTAGGCGGTGTCTGCGTTATCAACAACTTCAAAACGGTATACTTATATGTCAATTTCAACAAATCTTATTGCTCAGAAAGGGCTAAGGGATAGAGGATCAGGCATTGACTATTTAAGCCTTCTCCCAGCAATATCTGGATGGCAATAGAAGTGAATTATTAACCACAAACAGACAATGCATTACAGATAGGTATACAATGGTGTCTCCATTTCCCCACTGGGTTACATACAATTACTCTTAGTTCAATATTTAGTGTCAATTATATATTCTGCTAAATTAGTGTATGCATCTTCATCACATTCATGGCAACCATGAAGTATTACATTAATATTATGGTATACTTATATCAAACTAAAAAAGCAATTTCAAAATGTTACAACAGTAGCATGGAAAACCCGGCGAATGTGAGCATATTCAGACAAAACGAAACCTATACCTTTTTATACATAGAATCTTTATATAACACAAAAAAAATCCAGTTTGATCATAAATCTATGATGCTGACACAGATTTAGGATATTTTGATAGGCTGATTAAATTATCCTATAAATACTTACGTCATGTAGACCGCCAGCCAATAGCACGGAGTACACAATCATGACGGGGATAGTGAAAAACGATATACAGATGTGCTGATAAAAATAAAATGTTACTGCATCATAGACCAGTTCTAATGTACAGTAAACCGATTTCAACAATCTCAGAAACATATAAGTATATTTGACTGATGTCTGATAACATACAATAAGCAATATTTAACAGGGAAAGTAATTCGAATTTGTGACTGCAAATATTTCTAGAAATTAATCTTAACAATCTTGGATATAGCAAAAAAGGTGTTATACAATTTTTTATTTTTTTTGACAAATAATGTTTGATTATCTTTGTTTTTAAAAGAACAAGCCAATATCAATAGTATTATCAAGTTATTATAATAAATTAACAATATAAAACAAAACGGGAAATCAAAATGGGTTGAAATCTTTAGTATACATACAATGTAGACGATCTTTCTGCTGGTAAATAACACTCCTGCTAATCCCATCACACTGTTTAACACCTGTATTGGCATCATTGCACATGCGCAGGAATACGTTATGACGATCAGCATCTTTCCTAGTTGAATTTCCCCGAACACGTGCAGTGTATCGACAAAGTTTAAGTGGACGGTCTTGAGGGCCGTGTCGGTGTTTATGAGTACCAATGCATATACAGAGCATCCT